ACGTGAGGGGAAGCTCCTGGGGAAGGGTTCCTTGCTCCCAAGAGACACAAAGGACAGGCTTTCTTTTCACTGCTGCATCTGGACACACTGCCCAACAAGATACAGGCAGCCTGCCACAGGGAAGCCAGCCTGGTGGCAAAGCTGACACTAGAGATGGCAGAGAGGCCAGAAACAGCCCGCCCTCCTCTGCGAAACCGTCACATTTCCTGTTCAACGCCCTTTAGAGCTTCTGTCTGGGGGACTCATGGCCCCAAGTGTCCTGATACAGAATTTGGTAACACAAAGTGGGGATGGTGTAAGTTACCCTGAGATGTGAAACGGGCTGAGCAGAGGGGGAGGACAGGACAGTGAGGTCCCTCCACGTCAGGCCAGGAAGCCAGTGGCCCTTCCTCATGCAGCTCCAAACCACTCATTAGAATGTTACCTTTTCTGCCACGGGCTCCAGATCAAGAAAATGTAATACTAGGAAAATGATTACATAAAAAAAATCCAGGACCATTGAATTGGACATTTAAAAAAGGAAAAAAACAATCCAGGATGTTGAGTCCTGTCGGCTACTTCTTGAAGCCCTGGGTAGGTTCTTTAAAGGATGACCTTGGGTGAAGGCAGAGCAGATAACAGGCTTTGCACTAACACCATCACCTCTGGCTCTGTACCTTCATTCCCCTCGGTCTGGACAGTGCTGGATGCTGAAGCTCACTCTTGCTTAAACCCCTTCCTCTCCTGAATTCAGCGGCAGCTCTATCTTTTGGAACCAGCTGTCACTTCCTTCACAGAATCCTCTTCATTTTTCCTCCCAAGCCTCGTCGTCCTCTGCTCTTTTCTCTCTGGACCCTATGCTGGGGTGAGCTCAGAGACCCCTACACTGACCTACCTCACCCACCACTTACACATGACAGCTCTAAACCCTCTGCTCCCAGCCCAAACCGGTCTGCTGATGTACACACCTGTTTCCCCAATAGCCTCCAGGACAAATCTACCTGGGTTTCTCATAAGCACCCAAACTCAACATGTCAAAACCAAACCCATCACTGTTTTTATACAAACCTACCACATCCCATGTTTTCTGTCCCAATGATGGGTACCCTCACCCATCCTGAAAACAAGCCAGAAGACTGGGGGTCCCATCGGGATTCCTATCACCGACTAGCCACTCCCACTGAAGCACTAAGTCCTACTGATCCTACCTTTTAATCCTGAGAGCAGAAGTTCTCAGAATGCAGTGTGTATCAGAATCACTGTAGGGCTGGTTAAATGCCAGCTGCTGGGCTGTCTCATGGGTTCTGATCCAGTAGATGTGGGTGAAGAACAGAATGTGCATTTCTATCAAGTTCCCAAGGGATGCTGACGCTGCTCACCTAGGGCCACACTCTGAGGACCACTCACCTAGGTCCATCCCTTCCTCACCAGACCCATTTTGCCTGTCTTGGGCCAGCCCAGCAGTTGTCATTTCTTGCAGAGATCACAACGCTGAGCCTCTTAATTGATCTGACCTTCTTAAAACATCCTCCAATCTACAACTGGAATGTTCTTCCTGAAAACAAAATCTAATGTCTTAAAATCTCTCATTGACTCATAATCTTTGAGGCTTACCACTCAAACTCCTTCGTGTCCAGGGCCCTTTGTTACCTGGCCCTCGCTAGCCGGCTCCTACTATATACATTCTCCAGCCACACACATCTCACTTCCCCAAACCTTTCCTACAGTGGCATACCTTTAGTGAATGCAATTTCAGGTGCTGATGTTCTGTGACATTTTCAAATTTCTCTATGCCAATATTTCAGGTTGGTCAACTACTATCACCTAATTTTTAAAAAATCTAAAATCTGAAATATGTTTTGAGAATAATTATGTGAAAGGAAAAACTAATGCATAGTCTACAATGCACTATGATATTTTAACACTTCTATTCCAAGAATAATTTTTATTTTATTTCAAATACCTTCTAAACAAATGGATTATGACATAACAGAATTTGTTTTTATATGAGTAACTCTGCATCAGAACCTCTATATACATGATAAAGTCAAAGACAGAGACAAATCAGAAATCCTAACTTTGAAACAAAAAAACTAGAATTTGCTATCAGTAGACTGCACATTCTTAAACAACTGAAAAAAGAACTCCTCTAAGTTATCAAATAAGAGGGATTATTTAAAAATTAATGAACCAAAGAAAAATATTTGGAACTAGCTTATAATTATTTTTTCTCCCAATTTACGTGGTATAAAAACAAAACAAACTTCTACAGAAAATTGTGCACAAAAGTACATTAACAACTAAATGAAATCATGGAAGCCCCATATTTTAAAGACTATACCTTATAAAAGATCTAAAAGATTTTCCTTTTCATGTACTATTTAGTTTACATTTTTGAATAATGCTTTTACTCTTTCCATCTAATCACTTTTATTAAAGTGATAATGGATATTTAACACTTATAGATAAGGGTATGGGATTAAGAGATGCAAACTACTATGTATAAAATAGATAAGCAACAAAGATATATTGTACAGCACAGGGAAATATAACCATTTTTAAAAACTTTAAATGGAGTATATCTATAAAAATATTAAATCACTATTTTGTACACCTGAAACTAATATTGTAAATCAACTACACTTCAATAAAAAATTTTTAATAAAAATAGAATATAATTAACTTTATAAGTATATTTAACAAAATCGTAAGTTTTATATAGGAATTTCTATCTTAAACTGATTACTGATAAGAAACTAAAATAAATAAGATTTCTATTTTTACTGTGTATTTAAAAATTGTTTTTCTATTTGAAACACACCAACCATTTGATTTTACTGATTTTTTAGAAATTCTTAACACTTAAAAAATAAAGTACCAGCATCAATTCCTAGATCCTATTATTTTTAAAATAAGTACCAAAATACTAGTGCTGACATTGTGCCCTGGTAGTGCCGTGACCACCAACACCTTCATGTTGTTCCTTCTTTCTAGAATATTCTTTTCTTCTTTAATAGCTAATGACTCACCCCGTTATTAAAAACAGCTCCAGCACCACCCGCTTTGGTGGTCCTCCAACCTCACCTCTGAGAGAGATACCCCTCCCGGGCTTCCCTGGTGGCGCAGCGGTTGAGAATCCGCCTGCCAATGCAGGGGACACAGGTTCAAGCCCTGGTCCGGGAAGATCCCACATGCCGCGGAGCAACTAAGCCCGTGCGCCACAACTACTGAGCCTGCGCTCTAGAGCCTGTGAGCCACAACTACTGAGCCCATGTGCCACAACTACTAAAGCCTGTGCACCAAAACGAAGAGTAAGCCCCGCTCACCACAACTGGAGAAAGCCTGCATGCAGCAACAAAGACCAACGCAGCCAAAAATAAATAAAATTTAAAAAACAAAACTATAAAAAAAAAGAGAGATACCCCTCCCGCCCCAGAGCAGCAGTGCGGCCCCCTCTCCGGACGCCCTCTGCCCCACACCTGAGCAGCTCGCCTCCAAACACCCCACACGCATCACACCTCTTACTGTCACCTCTCCGAGTCAGGACCACGGCTGAGTGCAGACGCCCGCGACCAGGGCCCTGCCCCACATCAGGTGCTCTGAGAAGATCTAGAGAATTCATGACTTCTCCCCAATAAATAAGTTGCTTCCTCTCTGGTTGATAAAAGATTTCCAGAAAACGTGTGCATGGCCCCTCTTGCCACCCACCCCCACAAACCCCTCTTCTGAATGACTCTGAGCACTGTGACCTCCAAATCCAAACCATTTCCTTTCACGTGCTGTTTTGCTCTGAGTTAACCAAAAGCACCAAATGAGGCGAGGCCAGGCTAGGAATGCCCGCGGCGCAGAAGG